GGGAGGGGAGGAGGAGGGGCAGCTGCTGATATAAGCAGAGGAGTCCATGGGGGGGGTGTCAAAAAAATCATTCTCTCCTCTTCTTTGACCATCCCTGGCTACAGCTTTTGGGAATCCCTGTACTTTTCCTTCTGCGAGAAGCACACAAAAAAGGCTCCATTAACCAAAGGATGTGCCCAAATAGAACCGTGCGCTACTGCCTGACATTCACAGCAACCTTGTGAGGTAGGCCAGGCTGGAGACGTACCGGTGGCCAAAGGGCTTCAAATCCCTGTGAGATTAGAGTCCTGCTAGCTCTCCTGACCTCTCTTTCCTGCGTTTCTTCTCCACTTATTCCTCTTTCTTTCTCAGATGCATATGCGTCGTGTTTCCTTCAGGGCATCCAGAGGGGATATGTGGCTTTCCCTCTCAAATTTTTCCTCACCACAACCCTGCGAGGTAGGTTGGATTGAGAGAGCACAGCTGTGTTTGTACCACACACTTGAGCAGGTCAAGGAATGAGCTGGTGGCTCCGTTCACACCACATGCTATGCTTGGTTAAGGTTAACTTTGGTTAGGTTTCATGGGGCTAAGTGTGTTTGGTCAGCAAACCCAGAAAAGAGTTTAATCCAGTCACCAGCTTAAGGGGTTTGTGAATGGAAGTAGTGGCTGACCTGGCCTCATGGCGAAGCGGTTGCAAAATCCCGGGTTCTGATCCACCCCCCTTGTGTGGCACCGGGGCTGGTCCCTCTCTTAGCTCAAGTTACCCTACAGGCTGTGGAGGGAAAATTGGCATACCACCTTGGCTTTTGGAGAAAAAGTGATACAGATAGTCCTCGACTTACAGCCACAATTGGGACTGGAACTTCTGTTGCTAAGTCATATGGTCATTAAATGAGTCACACCTGATTTTACTATCTTTTTTGCAACAGTTAAGTGAATTACATGGTTGTTAAGCGAATCCCGCTTCCCCCATTGTTTTTGCTTGTCGGAAGCTGGCTGGGAAGGTTGCAAATGGTGATCACATGACCCCGGGACCTGCAACCATCGTAAATACATGCCGGTTGCCAAGTGCCCAAATTTTGATCATGTGACTGTGGGGATGCTGCGATGGTTGTAAGTGTGAGAACTGGTTGTAAGTCACTTTTTTCAGTGCTGTCGTATCTTTGAACAGTCATTAAACAAATGGTCGTAAATCAAGGACTACCTGTATATTAATCTAAGAAACAAGCAATATTTTAGGAGCCCGAGACTTTGACAACCACTTCTCCGGCTCAGCTGTTTGCATTCTGAAGATCCTGCAGGCTGAAGGGCAAAAGATGGATTGGCTTGTGGATGTTTCCCCAGATCTCGTGAAACTGAACACTCTGCAAGATTAGCATCTTCAGGAAGACTGGTGTTCAGTGGGCCAGTAAATTGCAGTGAAATCCTTCCGTCTGGATTTGTGGAAGGCTGAATGAGTTGGATCCATTTAGCCTGGCAGAAAGATCATGAACAGATGGGATGTTCTGCAAATATTTAAAAGGCTGCCATGCGGAAGAAGGAAAAAGGTTTTTCTCTGTTGTCTCTTCGGGGAAAAACTAAAACTGATGGCTGGAAATTGTCAAGAAGCGGGCTTAACCACAAAGGGCCTGTTTGTACAACACAGGTAACCTGTTTCTTGGATTGCACAACGCACTAAACCAATGTTGTTCCACCTTGGCAACTTTAAGATGGGTGGACTTCAGCTGGCTGGCTGGGGAATTCTGGGAGTTGAAGTCCACCCGTCTTAAAGTTGCTGAGGTTGAGAAACACCGCACTGAATCATCACACAAACGATGCCAACTGCTGCCGGTATCTCTGAGCTTCTGCAGGAGAAGCTGGTGCGCTGCTAGGACGCTCTGGCGACTTCTAGGCAAAAGGGAGTGGGGGGAAGCCTGGGGAAAAGGGAGGGTTACAGGGTGGGACTGTCAGTGGAGTCCTTTTATCCAAGTGGATCTGAGGATCCTGGGTTCTGTAGTAGTGGATCCCTGCATGGCGCTGGGGGTTGGGCCAGATTATCTCCAAGTCCTTTCCAGCCCTCCTTCTACAGGTAGGGCTGGAAGAGAACATCTACCTGCTGCTCACCTTGGTCATTTTCCTGGAAAATGCACCGGCTGTTTAGCATCTTAGAAAGCTGGTCTCCTTTCCTGGCCCTCAAGTGGTGCGTCTGTTTCAAAGGGAACCTGGACATTTTGTATTGGGGGGGGACGTTATTACCACTTCACCTAAACTGAAGGTGCAGCAGGGGATAGCTCCAGCAGCAGCTTCTCAGAGGCTCTTCTCTGAGCGTCCTTCAGAATTGGGTGGCTGCAGCTGGGCCAAGGAATAGCCTCTCTCGGTTGATATTGACTTCATGGACCCTCCCATACTGGTTTCTTAGCAGTGATACAGATGCAGTTGACCGCTGCCTTTTCCAGGGTGGTTTTTTTCAGCTTCCCAGTGTAGGAATTTCCTGGTGGCGTCCCATCCAAGGATGAACCAAGCCCGACTCTGTTTACCTTTCTGAGATTAGCCAAGGTTGACTAAGGACTCAGGTGGCAGCTGTAGGTGTTTACAACTCTCCAGCTTTTCCCTGAGTGGAAGCTGTATTTTAGTAGCGTCCTCCTGAAAATGCCCCACTCAGAGCATACCCACTGCGGTCTTCTCTTGGGATGGCACGAAAGGGTGGGAAGGAAGAGAGGCTGCTGGAAAGAGGATGAATGGATGAATTTATAAATATATAGCCACCCATCTCACAACAGTGACTCTGGGTGGCATTCAGAGATTTAAACCCAACAATTAAAAACAAGAACCCGTGGTGCCCAAAGTAAACAACACTTTCCGATCATAAAATCGCACTCCCAACTTCCTGGCCTGACGGCTTGGAGAAACAGTGGACTGCTGCAGTGGAAGGCAGGATTGTACAAGAAATTTTGTTTGTTGATATATTCCATCTTACTGATTGTCAAGAAAAATAATACATATCCAGAAAACTGTTGGAAATGAAGTCATCAGATTGGATCATTTAGTCACACCTGGTGGCAATGTCTTAAAGCTCAACAATTCTGGAAGATAATTCATCAGAGAATGAAACACATTTTAAAGACTGACTTTTCTTTCTTGCCAGCTGTCTTTCTGTTAAGCATTACTAAGTCTTATATTTCTACAAAGTATATGAACTTGGCTCTGTATAGAAAAACAGCTGCTAAGATACTTTATGCTCTTTTAGTGGAAATTACACATAATTCCTTCTTTAGAAGATTGGCAGTCTAAGCTATGAGAGTATGCATGAATGTCAAAAATAACTTTAACAAACAACACTGATACTGAATTTAATTTAACCTAAAAACCATGTATGGACTATAATTTTGCACACGGACTAAAGTTATGACATCTAAAGTTTACGTTTCTTTCAACACAGGGCTTTAAAAAATTACATTTTGCTTGACTTGTTATAAGAAGGACAGACTGTTTCGGGCTGGATAGAAATGCCTAACTAATTCTTTATTCTGACTGATGATTCTTATCCTACTGGGTGCCTTTGCTAATTATTGATTTGATTTCAATCATGGTTTTAAAGTGCTAATTTGATATAAGATTAACCATATACCAGTGTAGCGCTGGCTGGGGAATTCTGGGAGTTGAAGTCCACACGTCTTAAAGTTCCCAAAGTTGAGAAACACTGTATATACTGTTCTAACTTTAAAGGTTCTTTAAAGGTTCTTATTCAGTGTCATATACCTTGTAAATCTCTATTAGGAAAGAGAAGAGGAGGGCTGCCAGTAGGAGGGACGGGTCCAGCCACAGGGGCGACGGGGCACCCTTGGAAGAGCTGAAGGACTGGGATGGGGACAGGTCATCGTGGAGAAAATCTATGTGGTTGCTAGGAGCTGAAAATGACTTGATGGCACAATCAATCAATCAATCAATCAATCAATCAAAAATCTCCATTTCTTTTTTCTTTCTTTATTTTGGAAAGGAAAGGAAAAGGGAGGAAGAAAGGAAGGGAAAGAAAGGCGAGCCCAGGCAGGAGCGCTTCACACCTCCTCAGCCACCTCATCGTGCAATAATGGCCAGAAGGCCACACACGTGGAAAAGAACGTGTCTGACATTCTCTTCTCTTTGGAAAGGAAGACCCAAAACACATTTTCTCACGTCAGAGTGAGAACTGGAAGTGCAGGATCATTTCTCTGTCCGGGGCAGCTGTAATTGCTGGGCTGGGAAAGAAGTGAGTCACCCAGGCTAGAGCTCGTTCCGGGCCATGGATCGTAACTGGAACCTTCATGTCTCAGAGCAGTCTACCTTCAATACCTCTTCCGAGTCCAACCTCTGCAATGCAAATGGTTCCAGGATTCTGTGCAGCTCCTAGCGCACCGGGGCATCGAACAGCAACAGCAGAGAATCAGCTGATTGCCTGCTCGGTGGGAAATGTGGCTGCTAAGGGCCAGGCTGAAGCGAACATTCAGGCAATCCGCACCCGTTGGGTTCCCCCAAGCACGCAAGATCAAGATTCATTCTTATTTCTGTGGCTGGGCATTTTCCTTTCTCAGGTGCTGATCGGACGAGTGCTGCTTTATGTGCTCCTTAGTAGCCACCGGCCATCAAGAGCCCTTAACGTGCATTTGAGCAAATGACTTTCTAGCCGGTGTTTCCCCTTGAAGGAAAATGACTGAGTTTGGGGCAGTTTAAAGCCAAAAAAAAGAGCTCCTTTTGCTTTGCGTGCTTCTTCCCTCCCTCCTGAGATGAGAGAAGAAGCGGCGCGGTGTGGGAACCCCAGAGACCCCATCGCCACTGCCAGGGCGACTTTGGGGAGCTACCTGGCACCCCGTGTTCCACGCAGGAGGCCAGCGGGAAGCATCCCGTGACGGGCATGGCTGGTGGGTCAGACTGGATCTCTTTGCAGCAGGGTGAGTCTTGCTGCACTGCAGCACCCTGTCAGCTCCCAGATGTGCTGATGCCCTGAGGGGCCTTTCCTCAGTTTCCCTGCTGGGTCTGCAGCACCTCCCACGGAGGCAGCTCCTGATGTTCTCCTCGCCCTGTCCAGTAGCCTGGGTGGAAGGGCCAGACCCGCTGATTAGCTGGCTGGCACCCTCATCTTCTCCCGCCCCTTCCATCATTCAGGTCTGGCTTCTTTTTCTGCTGCCCCAAATTTGCCCAATCCCAAGAAAATAAACACTCCTGGCGGCTCCCACAGCTTGAGCACAGATGGCTGTCACCTGCGCGATCTAAACAGTGGGGGACGGTTCAGGGGTTTCTCGGGAGAAGTCACGTCCCGGGCCAAGCCGCGGGTCTGCCGCCTCACGCAGCCTGTGCGGGAGGCCAGCGTGCCAGTTGCTAAGCAGTCCGGACACAGAAGCGTCCCAGGCTTTGCTCTGGGTTCTCCCTGGGCCTGGAGCCCAGGCGGCCGACTCTTTCGCTCCCCTCCTGTGCCCGTTGAAGCAGGCGTGGACTGGATGAGCGGGCCCCAGCTATCAGTGCCCCCTTACTGAGAGGGCTGGGGGCCATGTGAGAGGTTCGGCCCACCCCGCTCTGGTGTCCATTCAGGGGACATCAGTGGGGCCTTTGGAAAAAAGTTCTTCTAAGTCCATTCAGGGTCTCCCTGTCACGTTCCCAGCCTGCGTATCTGCTGTAAGCTCCCAACATTGCCCCCGGTTCATTTCCTCCGAATGCCACTTTAATCCAGAGCAGGTGGCAGCCTCTGGCTAATTTTGGCCGAACCCAAAAGCCAAGCAGGGTTAGGTTAGGTTGCCCTTGGATGGGACACCACCCGGAAATTCCTCCCTATCTAGGAAGACGACACCGACAAACCATGTCCACTCTGTAGCCAGGGAAACAACAGGATGTGTTCATGTATAATTGAGCTGAATTCCAGGGAAACGTTACTTTCCTTTCATTATTGTGATTTGTGTGACATCGATAAATACATTAACTCTACTTTTACGTTGGATCTCGCCCTTCTTTGAAAATAGAAAGTTCGTAAGTCTGTATTTGATTGTATTTTATTTTATCCTAAGATTTGGTTTTAGAAATGGTCCCATTTCTCCTTTGTTGTGTGAGTGTCGGTTCCTTTGTCTTTCTGCCTTTATATTTGCACACAGATGCGCAGGAGTACTTGGTACCAAACAAAGAAGGGAACAAACCAAATTTAAAGGGAAAGTTGCTTTGATTCAGGGGCTTTAGGGGGGCTCTTTCTGTTTGGGGAGGCCTCTTGTTTATTGGACCATCTCTTTTGTTATCCACAAACGTAGCTTGAAGAAAATCTGTAAGCATCATTCACAGAGTTGTTGGCTTACAATTTTATGTTCCTTGTCAGTACTGTAGGCATGAGTTCTCCCAGATAAATACTTTGTCTTATTTTAATTGCGCGTCTGCCACTTCGCACCGGGGCAGCGGCCTCACGTGCAGCCAAATTCTGGGTGCTGCAACCTGTGTGGTAGCATTTGGGGGACTGGGGGGTCCCGAACCAGTGACTGGAGGTTTTGCCCCCCCCAAACTCCTTTCCAGTCCCTCCGCCCAGGTGTGTGTTGGGTGAAAGCGGTGCAGGGAAAGGGGGATGTGTCTGTGTGCATACTTGGATCAAAGATTCATTGTGTGTGCTACGTTGTAAGGTGAGCGGAGGATGCGTGCATTAGTAAATAAAATGGTGTGCACACACACGCACATGCACACACCGAGACCCTAAACCTAGACACAATTTCTTTGTATTGAGATGAGGCTTGATCAGGGACTGAGTGCAGATGTTTAGGAGACATTGTGTGTGTGTGAGAAAATTCAGAAGACTGATGAAGGTTTCTGCCCTTTAACAAAATGCGGGTGTCGGAAAAGCCGCTACCAGACCCCTTGGGTGGTGTGTGTGTGTAAGCAAGTTCACGTGTATGTGTGTGCAGAGGATCGTTGAAAAGGCCCCAACCAGTTCAGCCAAGCCGGTCCCCTTGTGGTTCGGCAACAGGCCCGCTGGTGGCCCGTCAGCCCCTCCTCCCCGGCCTGGGCGGTGGGCAGCCGGTGGCCTTGGCCTGTCCGGCAAGGGGGCTTATCTCTCTGCTGCGGAATGCGCTCGTTCAGTCGGAGCGCAGATAAAGCGGAGCTTTGCAGCCCCTCTGGGCCGGGGAAGGGAGAGCAATTGGCACAGCGCTCTGGAAAGCTGGCCACGGTTCCCTCCCCCCAGATCCAGAGGTCTGGGCTGCTAAACTGTGACTCTCCATTTATGGTCAACCTCTATGCCGGCAAGCGGCCAGCAAATCTCCAGTCACCTGCTTTAAAGGAACCGAACCCGGGGAGCGGAGCAACGCTGGACGTCCGGAAGACTCACAAAGGCTTCTGCCTTTTAATAAAATGTGCTGCCTGCAGACGTAGGAGACGTGAGACCGCAGTGGTGAGCCTGGCCGGATTCACGATGGCCTGGGCCTGACGGTGGTGTATGGCTTGCACAAATAACGTGGCACGTGCTATTTGTGCAAGCAAGCACATTAATCCCACGGAAGGGAGCAAAAAGCTACAGATGAGCTCAGCGTTTTGGAAAACGACTCCGTTCTGGAATTAATTGTAAAGAGGAATGCGGGAAGAGGGAATCTGCTGATTCTGTGTAGCTTGGAAGTGCAGGTTTCTCAACAGAAAGCGGGCAGATTTACACAAAAAAGGGAGGAAGGGAAGGAGCAGCCTTCTGGGCGGCTGCGGAAGCAAGTCCCCAGACTGGACCCTTAGGCCGTGCCTCGTGTGCCCCTCCCCAGTTGTAGGGCCGGGAGGGGCTCTTGAGGCCCCGCAGCCCACCCCCTCGTTCCGTGCCGGTTCCGCAGGCAGGACGTCACTGCAGCGTCCTGGACGGAGAGCCAGGCCCTTTCGGCTTCAAGCCCCGAGAACCCAGTTGGATTGCGAAAATGAAGAAGTGTGGTGGAAACGTTTCAAATGCACGCACGCACACGCACTTCCAGCAGAGAAGAGTCCGCCTCGGGTCACACCAAAGGCGGCCGCCGCCGTTCCACGGCCACCTCTGCCTTGTGTTGCGTCATTCCTCAAGCCGGGGCCTTCTTGGTCTGTGGGACTACAAGCCCCATCGTCGCCAGCTGCCACGGCCGTTCCTTAGGCAGAGCGACTCAGCCGGAGGGCACCTTGGCCGGAGGTCGGCCGCTCTCGCGTTGTGCCCGGCTGTGGATTTACCCTGTGATCTCCCAGCCTTCGCCATGTTTATTCCTCGGGTTAAAAATAAACCCGGGAAACAGAATCTCCCGGCTCTGCGGCTCAGAGACCCTCCGCACGCTGGCTCTGAGAACAGAAGCTCCTTGGCAGAAGGACAGAGGCTCCCGCGCCAAATTACTTGAGGGCCCCAGCAGGTCACCACCCAACACAAACAAAGGGTGAGGATCGGGCCGCCAATCCGGGCTTCTTCAGAAGCAAACCTCCTGGACCGGGTCCCACGCCCAGGGCTGCATTCAGGGTCCCTGTGCGTCAGCACCCCGCGGGGAGTGGCAAGATGGGGTGTTTCTGGGGGCTGCAGCAAGCCGGGGGGGAGCCTGTTCTGTTCCTCCCCACTGTGGTCCGGAGGGGCCAGAGCCTCCGCCAGGCTGGAGAGACCCCACTTCCAGCCCTACCCAGTGGGGAAGCTGGCCGGCTGGTTCACAGCACGGACTGCGAGGATGAAAAGCGAGCGTGCAAAGAAGGGAACAAGCCTGCACGAGGGCAGGGATTGGATTCCTTTGGAGGTGCGGGTGACTCGAGTGATGGGTATGCGATCAAGCTGTTGGGTGACATCTGGGCCCCTAACAGCAGGTGGCCGTGGGGGCAGCCATGGAGCCGGCTAAGGAATAAAGCTTCTTGGCTCTGCCTTTTTCTAATGCCGGCTTAAAGACTGTGGGTTCAAATGCGTGCCGCTTGCCCTCCTGGATAGATATGTGATAACTGAATATTCGCACTAGGAGGAAAACTCCCCAGGCGTCCTTAGAGGCTTGTTCTCGTGAAGCACTTAACTGGGTTATTAGGGAAGCAGCGTGGTGTATTGTGGGAACCATCAGCCCTCCAAGGTAGGCCAGGTCAGGAAAGAGATTCCACAAATCTGGCCGGAACTCTATTGATAGAGGAGACCCCCCCGAAACCCCGAACGAGGGAGAAGCCAGCCTCAGCTTCTTTCCCACGCTCCCGCTCTTGCCCGGCTTAAGTAAGCTCTTGTTTATGCAACCATCTGCCCCACTTCCCCAAGCTCCTCTCTGTGGCTTTCTAAAAAAAAGGCGAATTAACTCAGGCGAGGAATGCCCAGGCGGTTGGAATTCACCCCCGAACCGGCTCAGGCTTGTAGACGTTTAAA